CACGACAGTAAAGAAGGATAGCCTCCCTGAGGTGAAAGAGGAGTTGTGTCAGGAAGTCAAAAGCGGAAGACATCTTCTCAGAACCAGCAGATTATTTGGGGGGAAGAGATGTTGTTCTAGTCATTTTCCTCCCAGCGACTGAGACCATGAGAAACACTTGAAATGAGTATTTAAACAAGGTGGAGTTGAGAGTAGGATGGAGGCATGTGGAACAGAGAATGCCTGATGACAACTATGCCCTTGGTGTAGGGACTTGTTTTGGGAAGGAACTGAGAAGGTATTCATTGATTAAACTATGTGTATTGACCCATTATGGGTTACTTAGATTGACCTTGTTTTATGTAGTTTAGAATTTGGGCAAGGGGTGCTGTAGTGGTTATGTTTGTGTGTCAACTTGGCTGGGCCTGGTTGAGTGGCTGGGCAGCTGGTGGTAGTTATTCCCCATGATGAGACTGGCAGTCAACTCCATGGTGGGATCTACCACAAGCAGCTGAGTAGCTGCCTTTGGTATGTGGTCTGCTTCCTGTATATAATGAGAAGCCTTGGGGATAGTCTCTAGCCTATGGCACGCTTGGACCCTGCATGTAGCCGTGTCGTTGCTCAGCAGCCTGCAATGCTCTGTCGACCTTGGGACATACAATGGACTTAAGTTAATGGCCTGCCATGTGGTTTGGTAACATCGGGACTGTGACTTTTTACTTGTCAACCTTGGGGCTTCTCAGCCTCAGCAGCTAGCAGCTGTCTGAGTGAAGAAATGCCTCTAGCTTCAGTGGGCCAGGAGCAGGAGGCAGAGCTGGACCCCAAGATTGAGGGGCTTTCACTCAGCCCCTAGAGCCTGGCACTTTGAACTTGGACTTAAAGCCCCAAAATTGTAAGAATAAACTCCTGTTTGTTTAAGCCATCCTGAAGGTTGGGCAATCCTACTTCCGTAGTGATACTGCCTTGGAAACCCAAGGAGGGGTCGCTATGAGTCGGGGCCGACTCGACAGCAAACAACAACAACAACAACTTGTCTGAGTGGTACTAGGTAACCAGAACAGGTGCATATGCTCTGTGGGTGTGATACTCTTACCAATGAAGTTGAACCCAGGTTCATGAATGATGGTATCTTTGTCTATAAATTACCTCTGGTACTATTTTCAGTCACTGAAAAAAGAAAAGCCAGCTTTCTATCAGTGGCATCTTAACTTTAATCCACACATGTCATCTTTAAGACCCACTGTCTAATTCAAATTCTGAATATTTAAATCCAGACCCACTGCCATCAAGTCAATGCCTTACTCATAGTGACCAGTTAGGACAGAGTGGAATTGCCCCTTAGACCACTGCCCTTTTGGTTGGCAGCTGAATGCTTTAACCACTGTGCCACCAAAGCTCCTTTTCTGAATACTTGGGCCCTACTTATTATGAAAATTATGCAAATCTCCTTTATTCATCCTTAGTTCTCCTTGCTTTCAGGGGTGAGGTGGAGGGTTGGGGGGAGGTATTCTTTCCATTATTTTTCCCAGGGTTTTTTTTTTTTTTTTTTTTTTTTTAGATTTTATAAATCGTTTTTTTTTTTTTTTTTTTTTTTTTTTGCTGTCTTTGTCATAGAAATTGAGGGCAAATGCATTGGCCATATCTTGGAGATATTCCAGACCATTGCAATAAAGAGAATATCGCAATGAAGCAAATCACACAAATTTTTTGATTTCCCGGTACATATAAAAGTTATGGTTATACACCACATAACATGGATGAACTTGGAGGACATTATGCTGAGTGAGATAAGTCAATCACAGAATGACAAATATTTTATTAATTCACTATTGTAAAAAGTCAAGGGAAGGTTTATATATGGAAGGAAACTATCTTTGTTGGTTACAAGGGATGGGACGGGAGGGGAGGGAACACTGCTACATAGGGAGAGACAAGTATTGATTTGGGTGAAAGGAAAGGCACTATACCAAAAGCAAGTGACCAACACAGTAACACTAAGGAAAAGGAAGTCACAGAGAGGTGCACAAGAGGTACAGACAACAAAGATAAACCCTTTACATGTACAATACTGCGTTATCAGTGATAACAAACATTAATCTATGGGTAAATAGATGGGTATACAGGCTGAATGATCAGGTATGTCGAGGCAAAAGGGAATATGCCCACGACCATATACGAGGTTGCCAGATGATATTTCTACATATGTGTGTGCTCTAAGAATGTCCACATAACTAGAGCTAATGGGGGCAAAGTTATGATAACTTCTTATGCACAGTCAACCACCCTGATAGAGTTGTTGGACCTTTGGGCTTGGGACCATAGTGGCAGAGGATATCAATCAAGCTCAATTAACATAACATACATGTTCTACACCCTACTTTGGTGAGTAGCAACTGGGGTCTTAAAAGCTTGCAAGCAGCCATCTAGATGCAACAATAGGTCTCTCCTCATCCAGAGCAGAGGAAAATGAAGAAAACCAAAAGCGCATGGAAAAAATGAGTCCAAGGGACTAGTCAGCCCACATGACCATGAGACCAGAAGAACTAGATGGTGCCTGGCTACCCCTGACAACCACTCAGAAAGGGATCAGTGCAGGAGATCCTGGATAGAGTGGGAAAACAATGTGGAACAAAATTCAAAATCATGGAAAAGACCAGGTTTACTGGTCTGATAGAGCCTGGTGAGACCCCTGAGAATATGGCCCCTGTTACCTTTCAGGTCTGGAATTGAACTCATTCCTGTGGCCACCAGCCAGACAGTAGGCATATAGGGTGAACATTTACATCAGGAAAATACACTCTTAGAACAATCAGTCATGGGAGAACAGAAGGACAGTAATTGCTCTGGGGGCAGGAATGGATAGGAGAGGACACAGGAAAGAGGTAACTACAGGGAGGAAGTGAGAAGAGAGCTGTTACATTGTGGGGAATTACAGTCCATGTCATGAAACAAAATGTGTATGCACTGCGGTATGGAAAATAAGTTTGCTCTGTAAACTTTCAACCAAATCACAATTAAAAAAGAAAGAGGGACTTATCTCTAGAATTTATAGAACACTCCAACACCTCAATAACAAAAAGACAAACAATCCAATT